CAAACTTTTACAGCCCACAAACACACACGGAAATGACATAGATGAACTTAAAAACTTGTGTATAAATAAATAAATAAAGCAACTACCGTCATAATTTAATAATTAAAATCAAATCATTGACCCCGTCGTTGGGTCAAGCAACTCAATTCCAACACACTCCCCCCACCACCAATAGCCGCTAGTCATTGGATTGACTCATATCTGGAGGTACTCTGGCGTCTGTCTTTCAACGATATCCATCGTTTATAGACATCGTCAAGGATGATCTGATGTTTATCATTCTGATTCTGATACGATTTAATCCTCAAAAACATGTTTAAATGTAACTCTTCCAGTCTATTTAAAAATATAAATCTGAATCAAATTAAAAACATGGATGTATTTGTTATAAAAATTGTATAATTCTCGCTGCAGAGTGCAGCCTATCTGTTCGAATTTATTTTTATAAAGATTTGCTGCGTGGATATTCAAAAATGCTGCGCGACGTCTGTGAGGTAACTGCGCGTCCGCGCAGCCTAAAAGGAACCGGGCAAGGTGGGTATTTGGTGTGGGAATGAGGTGTTGGTGGTAAAGGGTGTGTACTTGCGACTGAAGTATATCATGGAATGTGTTACTGGTATAGTACTTTGCATGACAGATGAGAAGGGTAGCACTTTGCATGACAGATGAGAAGGGTAGCACTTTGCATGACAGATGAGAAGGGTAGCACTTTGCATGACAGATGAGAAGGGTAGCACTTTGCATGACAGATGAGAAGGGTAGCACTTTGCATGACAGATGAGAAGGGTAGCACTTTGCATGACAGATGAGAAGGGTAGCACTTTGCATGACAGATGCGAAGGGTAGCACTTTGCAAGATATAAGAGAAGTACGCTGTGTTTGCTTTGGACTTTCTTACATTAAGATAAAATACACATAAATAATTGTGTGGTTTATTGAAACTCTTGACTTTTATCCAGTGGATCGCCTTTCTCTGGTCGTGAGAGACTCCACGGCCTGATCATGGGAGACTTCAAGGCCTGATCATGGGAGACTTCAAGGCCTGATCATGGGAGACTCAATTGAAGAGACATGGAAGACTCGAAGCCTGAATTTAAGCGATTGTTTATTTTAAGAGTGATTGTGAACATTTTAAGGTTGAATGAACAGTTTGTTGAATTGTGATTCATTTTTTGAAGTGTGTGACGTTAATCAAGTGCAGTCTGTGGATATCTGACAGAAGAAATAGCTGTTAGGCATGGCACTTCTTTGTTTGAGACTGTTGTTGGTAGTTATTTAAGAAAGTGTGTGTGTGTGTGGGGGGGTGAATGAGATGGGGAGAGAGAGAGAGAGAGAGAGAGAGAGAGAGAGACAAGCTGAGAGCTATTCAGATAAAGAGAGAGAGACAGAGAGTTACAAGTGCAGCATACTATAATACTATTGAATCTATGCGTTCGAATCCCTGTACTTAATTCCATCTATTTGAATTCCTTGTACTTAAATCCATCCGATTCCATGTATTTGAATGCCCCTGTACTTGAATCCTTCAGCTTGCACCATTGTGTCAGAAAGTCAACTCTGATTCTGCCTAACACCGACAATTAGGTCAATTCTTCGCCAATTTTTTTTTTCCATTCACTTAAAATAACATGACACTGAATAGCATTATCACACAGCCCATCATATGAAGGAGCCATGCCCGTGGAAGTCATCCAATATTCATCTTGTTAAACGCTATTATAGGATCAGGGAGGGCGTTGTCTGACATGGGCGCTCCAACGAGGTTGCGCCCCATTGAGGTTGCGCCCCCAAAAATTGATGATCCGGTGAACCTCATAGAATTTTTAACAGTTTTCTAAAGTTCAAATGGTACCGGAACCCTTGTTCGAGAGCAGTGGCTCATGGAATCTGTTCTCATCTCGGTGGATTTTATTGTTGGTAATGTCATTAATGTCAAGGTTATACAAATTTAATTAGTCAGTTTTCCTGTTTTAATCCATAGTGCATACATTTAGGTTAGATTAAAGAGAATTCGAGAAAAAAAAAACTAGGAAAATGAAGGCTTTATTGTATGAAATTAGAAACTTGATCCAAGAAAAAAAACTACTGTTGATAAAATGAAATTAGAAAGAAAACACACAAACTTTTTTCATGTTTTAATTTTTTTTTGTCACTTAAATCTGTGTGTTACATTCTCAGACTCAAGGCACCACACTGGCTAGAGTATATGAGTAAAAAATATTGCTGTATAAAAAAATGGCTATAGCTTAAAAGTTATTCAATAGTTAAGAGTTTTTGTTTAAGGAAAATATATAGATGTTATTCATCAGTGGTTCTCAAAAGGAAAAGTACTACCCCTCCAGTGATTATTTCAGAAATTTTCCCCGGGGGGGGGGGGACGGGACACAGACTTCAGATTTGATTTTTTTTGGGAGGGGGGAGGGGGGGGCACTTGGCTTTCCCCCGCCCCCCCCCCTCCCCCGAGATATAGCTGAAAGAAACCCTGTACCCCTCCCCAAGGGGGCTGTGGGATGCCTTAGGAGGCAGTATAACTTTGGCAAAAATTATTTCAGATGATCAGATCACGAACAGCCTTGTTAGAAAGTCATGGAAAGACACGAGCCAAGCGGTGAAAGGGGGATAATGGATACACCAAAATCGGCCGTTTGACTTTGTTGCATAGCTTAAAAATAATAATAGTGCGTCTCTCAATGCTGCACGCGTCAGACACGATGAAGCTAATGCCAGATCAGTCTGCGCTGGCTGGGAGATTTCAAAGTTCTTAAAACCAGAGGAATAAACTTTTACTTTCATTGGGGATACTGGTCAAGATCTTTTCTCGATCCTAGAAGAGAAAAAAAGGGTGGGGCTTTGAGAAATGGCACCACATTACTCTGAGGCCATCCTAAGCATGTCCAGCCAGACAATGAAGAATTTTCACCACATTACTCTGAGCCCTTTCAAAGCATATAGTAATAATAAAGCTAAGCAGAGGCAAATCAAAATTAGTTCTTAGTCCCAACCGTACTTTAAAAAAGCTGTGATGAAAATGTATCAAGGTAATCAATTTGTTTCCTAAATTAATTCAAGTGAAAAGATTTTTAATATCTTTTCATTAAAAGTTCAGCCACATATAGCGACAATAAATATATTGTATTGTGATCATCCTCACACACTTGTAGCTACTACTGTACTGAATAATTTCTTTTTTTTAGGGTTGCACGCGTGGAAGGGGCGCTAGGGTGGCTGAAAATTTTGAGAACCACTGGTACACAGGGTGCATACCGTTGATGTACAGTATATAAAAAAAAGAAGAAAAAAACCTATTTGCTCAACTAGTAGAGCTGAAGGAGACAGCCCAGTAGATTCGTTTAACAACAATGTGGAATGATGAAGTTGGTGGTACAATGTTCAAATAATTCATCAGCAGTATGGACTGTCTAAATGTCACAGCACTGTCCAGTGTCACCACACTGTCAAATGTTACTACACTGTCAAATGTCACCACGCTGTTAAATGTCACCCCGCTGTCCAATGTCACCACGCTGTCCAATGTCACCACGCTGTCCCATGTCACCGGTGTTAGAAACATTAACAATAAAATAAAAAATGTACAAAAATATGATGGCACAAATCACCAGTGTAAACACAAGGCAAGTAAATATAATTATTAAAATCAAATGGCATTCAAATCATATGGCAATCAGTCTGCAGTTTGTTCTATATCAGTCATGTCATATGGCAATTAGTCTGCAGTTTGTTCTATATCAGTCATGTCATATGGTAATTGGTCTGAAGTTTATTTTATATCAGTCATGTCATATGGCAATTAGTCTGCAGTTCATTTTATGAAATTCAAATCATATGGTAATTAGTCTGCAGTTTGTTCTATATCCGCCATGTCAAACGGTAATTAGTCTGCAGTCAACTTTATATCAGTCATATCATATGGTAATTAGTCTGCAGGTTATTTATGTCAGTCATGTCATATCGTAATTAGTCTACAGCTTACATTGCAGTGCAGACTTAAGGAACAGATACAGGTTAGGTTTTAAAAAATTCCTATTAAGTCTAATTTTTGTAAGTAGGGAATATCATAGCATCTCAACTTTAAAACCATTAAATAACACTTTAATTGGAATATCTTTGTCCGCAATACATAGACTGGGACTAAATCATTGCAGAAAATATTCCGCATACATTTATAAAGATTTAAACCAACCATTATTTTTATACAGAAAATGGACATACAGCCCATTGAGACCTTCTCTTAAAGCAAGCTGTGTTAATCTGTCTCAACCAATATAATCACATAATCTGGCAACAGAAACAAGTAGGACCCATCAGATCAACACGACTGTTGAAGAACATAATCAGAATGATGTTAATTCCATTTGTTGTGATACAAATGAACACCGCTACTATTAGTAGAGTGCAAAAGCTACTGCTCCTCCAAGAAAGACAACCCGATACTCCAAGAAAGACAACCTGATACTCATAGAAAGACAACCTGATACTCCAAGAAAGACAACCTGATACTCCAAGAAAGACAACCTGATACTCCAAGAAAGCCGACCTGATACTCCAAGAAAGACAAACCAAGTAGCAACTGACAAATGGGTCTCATTTTAAACCCAAATTCAATCCCATTTTTGATCCGACATCCATGTTCTGAACTTAGCATCACAGCGACAGGTAAAGATCAGCACCACAGTGACAGGTAAAGATCAGCACCAAAGTGACAGGTAAAGATCAGCACCACAGCGACAGGTAAAGATCAGCACCACAGTGACAGGTAAAGATCAGCACCACAGTGACAGGTAAAGATCAGCACCACAGCGACAGGTAAAGATCAGCACCACAGCGACAGGTAAAGATCAGCACCACAGTGACAGGTAAAGATCAGCATCACAGCGACATGTAAACATTTACATCAATAAGAAATGTAAAGATCAGCACCACAGTGACAGGTAAAGATCAGCACCACAGTGACAGGTAAAGATCAGCACCACAGTGACAGATAAAGATCAGCACCACAGTGACAGGTAAAGATCAGCACCACAGTGACAGGTAAAGATCAGCACCACAGCGACAGGTAAAGATCAGCACCACAGCGACAGGTAAAGATCAGCACCACAGCGACATGTAAACATCTACATCACTAAGAAAACTCTACATTGAACAAATCAGTTAGCTGATAATCCTTTCCAAAGCCCTGAGCGACTGGACTAGCTCAACAAATGCTGGCCGGCAACCAGGGTCTAGATTCCAACAGCTCATTATTATGTCATAGATCGGTTGTGGCACATTCCCTTTAGGCAGGCGCCACTTTTCTTTGTATGAAGTGATCAAAACAAGAGGCGTAATGTTTTGTGGCATTTTCTTTGCTGGATGACATCCTCTTGAGAAAGTCTCCCAAACGACCATACCGAATGACCAGACATCACCCTTTGATGTGTAAACTGCTTTGTCAAGATCATCGATAAGACACTCAGGTGCCGTCCTGGAACAGCAAATAAGAGAGATATATTGCAATTATCAATACTATTTTTAACAACTAGAATGGCCACGCAGAGTGAGCTGTAGAGCAGTGGTCCCCAAATGGTGGTCCGTGGACCTTCACCGGTCTGCATGCCTAACGCTGACGGTCCCCATAACATAAATATTTATTGTCAAATAGTAATAAAAGTATAAAAATAAATTATGCACCCATCCCTGGTAAAATTTCAAAACTTGTTCACCGGTCCGCCAAACTTAGAAGTTTGGGAACCACTGCTGTAGAGCATTTACTGAACTAATGTATTTTTTATTAGCTGCAAATGAATTCTTTTTAGTTTAAGGCATCAAGGTGACTAACTCCTGATGGTGTCCTGATTCCTGATGGTCGAACAAGTGCAGGCCCCTTACTTTTACTTGTTTCTGAATTTATGAAAAAAATCCTTTTTTTCATTTTTTTCATCTAATAACAATCTTGACTTGCTCCTTCACATTCAGTGAAATGCTGCAAGCTAATAGCAGAAGTTTCATGCAAACAGTGACATGGGAGAGATTCTACAAGCATCCATTCAAGTCTATTCATCTAATACAAGCATCCATTCAAGTCTGTCCATCTAATACAAGCATCCATTCAAGTCTGTCCATCTAATACAAGCATCCATTCAAGTCTGTCCATCTAATACAAGCATCCATTCAAGTCTATCCATCTTATACAAGCATCCATTCAAGTCTGTCCATCTAATACAAGCATCCATTCAAGTCTGTCCATCTAATACAAGCATCCATTCAAGTCTATCCATCTAATACAAGCATCCATTCAAGTCTATCCATCTAATAAAAACACTATTCAAGTCTGTCCATCTAATATAAGCATCCATTCAAGTCTATCCATTTTATACAAGGATCCATTCAAGTCTGTCCATCTAATACAAGCATCCATTCAAGTCTGTCCATCTAATACAAGCATCCACTCAAGTCTGTCCATCTAATACAAGCATCCATTCAAGTCTGTCCATCTAATACAAGCATCCACTCACGTCTTTTCTTCTAATACAAGAAATCACTTACCAAATGAAAGGCAGTTCCACACCTTGTGATTTGTGTTTATAGAAACGATACCGTTCATCCATGTTACGGGCCAGTCCAAAGTCAGACACTTTGGCCACTATTCTTCCAGTGTCCTGTTTTTGCAGCAGTATGTTTCGAGCCGCAATGTCCCGGTGGACAATGTCCTTTCCGCTCAGATAAACCATTCCCTGCAAGAAAGTGTTTACACTGGTGGTCAATTACATACATACATATTTACACATATTATGGACAAGTACATTTGTTTCATTTCAATTACTGGCTACATTTCCATTTTGAGGCCAACTGCCTTTTTATGTCAGTACTTTGGCTTTTACTTCCTTCTTTGTTTGGCTTCTGTTTTCAGAAAATGGCACTCAGCCATTTCCACATTATTGTTTGGCCATTCAGCCATTTCCACGTTACTGTTTGGCCATTCAGCCATATCCTTGTTATTGTTTGGCCATTCAGCCATATCCTTGTTATTGTTTGGCCATTCAGCCATATCCTTGTTAGTGTTTGGCCATTCAGCCATATCCTTGTTATTGTTTGACCACTCAGCCATATCCTTGTTATTGTTTGGCCACTCAGCCATATCCATGTTATAGTTTGGCTCTATTTTTCAAACTTTCCTATATTTTGTGCTAAATATTCTTTTTTAACCCATTACAAATTTTTTTATAGTTTGGCAACTCTAAATTTTTTTTGGATAAATACCATGTAAACATGTTTGCAGTCTCTCCCCCTTTTATTACCATTAATTGTGTACAGTTGGGGTACTCCAAGGGCCAGACATGAAAATCGGAGTACACCTAATGTGCAGTGCTTATGGCCCAATGTATTCCCCTTTAATCTCAAACACTGATAAAAGTTAACATGCCAAAGAAAGGATTAAATCCGATAACGTGCTCTCACCTCAGCGATGTCAATGCAGATTCTCAGCAGCTGGTCGGGTGGTTGGCCACTATCTGACGCCTTAGCATATTCACTCAGGCTCCCCAGATTCATGTACTCCATTATCAGCATAAACTTGGATAATTTTGTCTCTGCATAACCAATAAATAAATTAACTTCTGATTGTATGTGTGGATTCATTTGATAGATTTACATTGAAAAAAAAAAATTCTCAACTAAATGTAGGAAATAAATTTAAAAAACATGGGAAAACTGTTCCTAGGTAGGCATCCCTCCTGCTGTCTTCTCAGTTACCACATCACACCCATCCATCCCTATTGCACTACAGAGCCCATGTAGGGCACTACAGAGCCCATGTAGGGCTTAGGCCAGCCTCTCCACTTCCACTCAGACCTAACTGATGCTTTTCTTTTCCATGCCTGGATTCCCAAGCATGTAAATCTTTGTCCTCATCATCCACCCATCTCAGCCTAGGTCTGCCTTTGATCCGTTTTCCTCTGGGGTTTTGGCATTCTACTACATTACACCTAAGTGTTCATTTTAATTTTTATAGTGTTTTTACTGTTGTTTCTTTTCAGAGCAGAAGGCTCCAGAATAATGAATTACCTCTATGGTCAAGTGAGAAGTATATCAATAATGAATTATCTAATTATCCCTATGGTCAAACGAGAAGTGTAACAATAATGAATTACCGCAATGGTCAAGAGAGAAGTATAACAATAATGAATTATCTCTATGGTCAAGAGAGAAGTGTAACAATAATGAATTACCTCTATGGTCAAGAGAGAAGTGTAACAATAATGAATTACCTCTATGGTCAAGAGAGAATTGTAAAAATAATGTATTACCCCAATGGTCAATAGAGAAGTATAACATTTTGACAATGTTAGGATGATGCAGGTCACAGGCCATCATTATTTCTTTGATGAAGCTGGCTTCTGTGGACACACCTTTGTTAAATTTTTTAACTGCCACCCTTGTCCATTCTCGGTTGCCGCCTCCTTGTAATGTCAGGTTTGGCCGTCTGACCTTTCCATCCCACACTTCTCCATAGTGGCCCTGAAGTTGGCATTGAAAAATACCTTCTAAAGTGGTCAGTAGAACCACGCTCATGGCCCCATTTTCTAAATGCTTCAAACTTGTAATTTATCATAACAAGTCTAATGTTAAAACAAACACAGGTTTAATAATAAAAACAAACACAGGTCTAATTTAAAACAAACACAGGTCTAATTTAAAACAAATACAGGTCTAATTTTTTAATTAGATACAGGTCTAGTGTTTAAACAGCATACATGCCAACCTGTGCCATTTCCCCGTACTTTGTACAGTTTTTATATGTTGCCGTGTTGTACAACCATACAGGCTTTTGTACTGTTTTTCACTGGATTTAGAAAAGAAATATTTTGCACAAGTCCGTCAAGACGTCAGGCTGGACACTCAAATTTCATAAACCATGGTGTAGAAACCACATTGTGTTAAAACGTAAACACACCCCACCACCACCACCCTTTTTTTTTTAGTACGAGTTATTCCTCTTTTTTTATTGTCTTCTTTCACCAGGATCACACAGCGCGTTCAACCGTCAACCATGTCACCAATGCATGCCAGGCAATCCCCCCTTGAGTGAGTTAAAAATAGTCATTAGAACTGAGATTGTAAATTTACAAATAAAAAGTTGATTTAATCCCTTCCTATCAGCATTTACTTTTCCATTGCTAGTAGATTTTTTTATTTCTATTTAGTTTTGCACATTGGTTAAAATGAATATGTACACTTCATTCCAATGAAATTGGTTGTATACTTCTTTTCAATTACAAATAAGTGCATATGAATGAGAATACTTTACTTTCCTTTGTGGCTTATCTGATTCTATAATTGAAACCCCTAGACAGGAGCAGGTGATGATTCCTGCCAGATTTATCCAACAATATGTGTCATTTTACCATAAAGACAGACTATCAAAACTGGCGGTGCAATGAGTTCAGCATTGGACCACGTGAGCTGTTTCACCCCACAGGTTGGCATGTATGAGACAGACTGACAAAATATTGAATCAAAGACAGTTCTAATGGTTTAAACATCCCTAAAAATGCTGACAAGACAAACAAAGACAGACTCCTTCTGTTACCTTTCCAAGCCTCCTTTCACTTATTATCAAACAATTTGTTGGAATAAATTTGTGTTTTGATTTTTCCATCAGAATTCTGTTCAGATCATTTAGTGATTGAGGCTTTGGCCCAGCTGAAAGACAAACAAGAAATTGGATCCAACTTTTCCTTCTTATTAAGTATGGATTTATTAAATCCATTGAAGGTAGGTAGGAAGAGCTAAGACTTTGAATGATACCTGTGGTTTAGAAATGGAAAGCTAAAAGTTGCTTTGTGTTGTCATTCCTTTTTTTCCAACAATGACAACTTACCTCCAGGTCATTCCCATTATTTCACCAATGACAACTCACCTCCAGGTCATTCCCATTATTTCACCAATGACAACTCTGTCATTCCCATTACTTCACCAATTACAACTTACCTCCAGGTCATTCCTATTACTTCATCAATGAAAACTCACCTCTAGGTCATTCCCATTATTTCACCAATGACAACTTACCTCCAGGTCATTCCCATTATTTCACCAATGACAACTTACCTCCAGGTCATTCCCATTACTTCACCAATGACAACTTACCTCCAGGTCATTCCCATTATTTCACCAATGACAACTTACCTCCAGGTCATTCCCGTTATTTCACCAAAGACAACTCACCTACAGGCTCATCATCCCTGAAGATATCATAGACCACCTGTTTGAATGACTCAATGTTCGTATCAACTTTAATCTCCCTGGCCTCAACCTCTCTGTCTGGGGAAAGAATGGAAGAAACGCATTAGAAATGATGCTTAGTAATCTTCATCATACACCCTTAAATATTCTCCGACTCTGAAATATATGTTCTCCTTAAATAGTCTACCACGAGAAGATATGACCCTGTGTTATCTCAAAAAAAAACAAAAAAAAAAACTTTTTTTTTAAATTACAACAATTTTCTAAGCTCTTGAAATGTACATTTGGGAGATAGTAAATCTGAAAAAAAAAAAATTATAGATGTTTATGTTTCTAATCCCATTTATTTTTGGAAATTGTTCTCTTCTGTACATATAAGCCTCCTACCCAACACTTTTTATCTTCTGTATATATAAGCCTCCTACCCAACACTTTTTATCTTCTGTACATATAAGCCTCCTACCCAACACTTTTTATCTTCTGTATATATAAGCCTCCTACCGAACACTTTTTATCTTCTGTATATATAAGCCTCCTACCGAACACTTTTTATCTTCTGTACATATAAGCCTCCTACCGAACACTTTTTATCTTCTGTATATATAAGCCTCCTACCGAACACTTTTTATCTTCTGTACATATAAGCCTCCTACCCAACACTTTTTATCTTCTGTACATATAAGCCTCCTACCCAACACTTTTTATCTTCTGTATATATAAGCCTCCTACCGAACACTTTTAAACACCCCTGATCTACAAAGAAATTTTTTTTAAAAATCTATGTACCATTTTAAATATCTGTAAAATTAAAGGATTTTGATAGTTTGGTATCTTCAGTTAAAAATGTAAACAACTTTAACTTGCCTCCTGAGATTTATTATTGAAATATCATTATAAAAAAAAAGAAAAAAAAAAAAAGATTTCTTATCTTAGAAGAATTTCTTGACTAATTTTTAAGTCTGTTACAGTTTTATGTTTTTTACAAACTAATTGTTAATCTCATAAAATTTTTCAATGCCCCTAAACTGTATTTTGCCCAAAATTTTCAGGAAATGAACAAAATATGTCCTTCCAACCCATTTGGCGCTACAGCCCAGGCTTTGGCCTGTCTCACCACTTCCTTTCACTCAGATCTGATGCTTTTCTTTCCCATGCTTGGATTCCCAGCTGCTGTAGATCCCTCTCCACATCACCCATCCATCTTTGTCTAGATCTCCTTTTGAGCCATTTTCCTCTTGGATTTCGGTGATGCACCCTCTTCACTACTCTGTCATTTGCCATCCTTTCTAAGTGTCCTGCCCAGCGTAGCCTGCCCTTTTTTATTTCTGCTACTAGTGTGGGATCCTGATATTGACTATTCAAAGGTTGGTTTGTATTCTTCATTCATATTCATCATTTGCTGGTCCATTTATTTTCCGGAAAATTTTTCTCTCCCATGCAAAAATAATTTTTCAGGCTGTTTTTGTTAGGGTCCAAGTTTTACTTGCCTGTGTTATTTTTTTAAATTCAAATCTACTGTTAGCCCATTCCTTATCCTCACCCCTGAACTGCATCTTTGGAGAAATGGGAATACCTTGATGTCCATGGTTTTAAAGAATATCTTATCAACTATTCTTTCCTTTTCCAACACCACTTAGCTTTGAGGTATCGGTTTACTTAGAGTTAATGGGCCCACAATGTGTCAACGCCCTCAAACCGTATTTTCTGACATTGGTATAACACATATTGATTTATGTTATAAGAAAATCCAATACCCCTTTTTCCAGACTGTAATAATATTGGATTTTAAGATACAGCCATCCACATAAAAATGTACACACCCATCTATCCTACCCCCTGAAATGAGCTTGAAGATGAAGGTTTAATACATCATTTCATTCCCTTTAAAACTATCTGTAAACCATTTCTGTTGTGTGACATATTTGGGCTTTGTGATATTGCTATACTCATATGCCCACTTTCCTGATGCATATTTTGTGCTGTCAAGAGAAAATAAACAAATTCCCCCCTCCTCCCCCCACACATATTTTAAACGATAATAAAAGCAACCCTTGAATAGTAACCCCCTTAGGTATGCCACCGCATGCCCCTCAACTATATTAAAATTCTATTGCCCCACCCCCCTTTTACTATGCAATGTACTACATATTCCTTTTTGAAGAATAGCTCAAAATATATTTCCTTATATTAAAAAAAAATACGGTCATTTATTTTGACAACAAAAATCCATACCAAAGTTCACATCTCCTTTTATGAAGTTGCTTATCTCTCCCAATCAGATAAATACTTAAATTAATTCTCTAATCACGCCATTACATTTATTTCAAATTTATAATCATAATAATCCTGACGATAAATTAAAGATTACTTACGCTTGCCTATTAGCAGATATAATTTTAACAGATTTAAATTGATTCAATTTCCGTAAAATAAAAAAAATTCACTATCATTGTTTTAAAAAGTCCCTTTCATTTTTAGAAATAGGAAGTTTACCCAACACCCAAATTGAACACAAATCTACATGCCGTTTGGTGCACTTTAGGGGATTTTTACTCTTGAGTAGAGCGTAGCACAATGCCATTGGCTCATTCTTAAAAATATTAGGATACATTAAACACCTCAAACTCAACTCTAAATAAGGAGCAATAGATTCAGCTGTGTGTGTTTGATTTCTAGCTCTGTTTTACAGAGTCTGATTTTATGACTGTCAATTTGTCTAAATCAGACATTCTTATCAGTTTCAAACATCACTTCTGTGTTATTTTTCTTGAATTTTTCTTGCATAAAAGAGTCTGGTGACAAGAGTTTCGTGCTCAGTACCGCGTCTGCAGATTTGTTTGTCAGGTGACAATACAAAATTTTTGTGTCACTTCTGGTCAGAGACATAACTCCATAGGTACCACAAGATTAAACGCTTGTTTTAATATTTCTGTAATGGAAAACGGCTAGGAACACCCAGAGCATTCAGCTAGCTGACAATGTGGGTTGATTTAAATTAGTAACAATGCTTGTGAGCAACAGAATGTGTGTCCCAGGACATTACTTGTGTAGTTGGGGGGGGGTGAATATTAGTTCTACAGGACTAAAAACATTTTAACACAATAAATCTATGTAATTTAAATATGCTATTTATTAACGTATTTGCTAAGTAATTTACCACTGATGAGGGCTAACAACTCATTGGACTGGGGTCTCTCTTGTGGATCTCTGGCCCAACATTTTGTGATGATGGTGTCCCAGATTTCACTGAGTAAACTTTTAGCCTCTGCCACCAGTGCGTTGGCGTCCACTTCCTGGCCTTCATTTTTAAGGTCTGGGCAAATATCGTCTGGTTTTGGTATCACTGGATTGTCCTTACAATATCCTGGCAGCTGAAATGTAGTAAATATTTTTATTTAACAGAAGTATAGGATTCTAATAAAATTCATTGCAGTATAATTTTCAAATGTATTCCAATAGGTCACAGCTCAAATAACTGCCTAATAATCTATTGTAAGGCAGGCCTAATTTCTAAAAAAATCTATATATCCTTTAAATATGTTCATTTCTACCCACCACACCCCCCCCTCCCAACACAATTGAAATTCTCATTTTTATTTTCAGACACATTTGGTAACAGTGCTGTAGTGCATCTGAGACCAGAAGGCTATCTGGTGATACATCTCACAATGTGCAATTGGCAATGTTTTAACACACTTACTGGTCATAACTGTCTATAAACAAAATGATTTTTGGGCGGGGGGGGGGGGNNNGGGGGGGGGGTGTTTGTGTAAAGCTTATTTTTACATATGCAAGGGGGGGGGGAATAAACAAAAAGTATGGGTGTAACAGGACCATAGATCTACATGAAATAAAAGAAAATGTGCTTACAGTTTCAAATTGATCACTTCTGTAGATAATCTCACACAAGGTTGTCCCCGTGGCATAACATTCAGATTCATATGTGATGGCAGGCAGCTTCTCCCTTCTTTCAGGGGACAACCAGGGCCATCTGTAACATGCATAGTGTTGTTTGAAATCTCTAAACGTGCTTAAAAGCTAAACGCGTATGTCCGACTAAGATAGAGCTCACAAATTATTGCCTGGTCTGTAGTGGTAATGTGCCGTACATGTTTAAAGCTTTAGTATTACATTACATTTTAAGAAATAAATATATTGATCTTGCCTGTCTTTTAGGACCCTCATTTTGTTTCTGTATATTATTTATACACAGATTAAAATCATGCATTAGGACAAAATTCATTTCGTTATCAGTTAATTAATTTTCAAAGCACACTTTAGTTAGTCGACATCTGATCAAGTTGTAGTACAAAATGATGAACCTATATCTCTGAATGAATTAATATAGATGGTGAGCTCCTTATAATATTTATTTTTAAAATCTATGATAATTTGCGGGACAGAATATAATGATATTTCAAGCAAGTATTGTGGAGCCTGGTGGTGAATAAGATGATGCCGATTATAAGGGGCCATTCATAAAGTTCTTATTTTTGAACACTTTTTGTCCCCCCTCCCTCCTATCACAATCTGTCAAAAATCTTGGTACACCCCCAACCCCCCCTCCCCCTCCCTCCCCCGTTTCCTCCACTACAAATAGTGTCACATTGCCTCTCATCACTTTACAATACAGGTAACGACACATGTTCTGTGTGATGCCCTGTCTGAACAGGTTGGCCAATGGTATAAAAAAAATTACCACAGTGAAAAGGGATTCGAGTTTATTACGAGTGTCATCTCTAATCACAGTCAAGGAATTGACTCTACCCAGAGACTAGGACTCAGCTCTGATTCAACTACACGTCTATTTCAAGAATCAACTGTGCCCCAAGCGGAGAACACAAAGCCGGACTCTGTTTCCCCAATTAGTTCATTGTTCAACCACTCAATCCCAAGACTTGAATCTCACCCTTGGTGATGTTTCATTTTCTGAACTGTGAAACATTTCCATGAATGTGAATGATTTAGATATGACATTAGAGCACATTGTAGAACATGACTTTTAACATATGATGATGAACGTATGAAAAGGGACATTGTAGAATGATTTATTAATAAGGTGAGGAAAAGAGTTAAGGCAGATGAATATGATGTTATGTTGACTTTTCATTTGTTTGTATACACGTTTTTATTATTTTTTTGTACGTGTTTTCCTCCCTCCGGTTGGCATGTATGAACATCACAGACAATCAATAAGGTAACATTATTTTTTAAAATTGTTAAAAAAGGACATGCCTTTTCTCAAAAAATTATTTACTTGGGAGAACACTCAAAGTTATTTTGGGATCCTATAACATATCCATAAAATAAGGGATATGAGTTCAAGGGAAACACCAGTGATGTAAGAATTTGAGAAAAATTGAAAATAAAGTTTGAAAATTCCTCATGAAAGTATAAAAATATCAAAATTTCTAAATATTTATTTATTGACTACGCTGCTTTTTCAGTTGGGCCTATATGTCATATTATTCTATTGAATTTAATGTAGCCACATGGGAGGTAACTTGCATATTTAGAAAAAAAACTGACAGCACTGGTTTTTCCCTTGAACCCTTCCTTTGTAATCTTTGCTTGAGCTTTCCACTCTGAGATACCAGGGTGAAAATGTTTGTGGACAGCTTGATAATAGAAGCCACACAAACAGTGGGGCTTACTGTTTACCTTTCAATGTTGTCTTTGTGGTCTATTGGCAGCGTATCCAGGTAAGACGATATCCCAGAATCCCCCAGTTTGATAGTCGGCACATCAGGATTTTCCCCTTGGCACACTAAGAACCTTCGAAGCCTTATATTGCCATGGACTATTCTATGCTCCTCCTGGAAGACAACAGTATATAGAAATATCTGTTTTCTGAATAAATTTCATAATCTTATGACATTCCCTCTCAGTTCTGTCAAATTTACACTGTGTTCTTTGTAACGAGTCTTACAAATTTTGCACACTACTACTTGGAGAAAAAAAATTCAAGGAAATTTTAAACAGAGATGTCTTAAGTCATTAATTTTTTTTTTTTTTAAACATCTTCAATTGGGGCAGAAAATTAAAGACCTTCATATAAAGAAACAGCAGCAAAATAAATATTATTTCATGACCATAACAATAGTTTTTAAAATAAACATTTTTTTTTTTTTTTAAAAGAACAAACAAATTAAAGACAAATAGTGTTGCAAACACTGAACTGAATTTAGTGGGGTAGTTATTCATTAAGACCTAATTAAAAATTCATCCTCTTAGAGTAGATGATACTTAACAAAGTTTTTAATTAAGTCTCATGACAAACCAAGAAACTTACCATAATTGAAAGAATTTTGACAATCTGAAACATGAACATGACTTTCCGAGCCACTGACTGGGGATGGTTGCAGATGTAGGTGAGCAGGTCGCACGGGGCGTGCTCCATCAACACACATAACTTCTTCTCCCACACAGAACCATAAAACTTGAGAAAATTGGCAGGCTTAAGTCTGTACAGCTTGAATAGGACGGAGATTCCTCCTCTAAATGCCTAGAGTGGATTTCAAGTATTGTACAGTCAACACAAACAGAAGGGGGCAGGAAAACAATGCTGGTTTGAATAAATATTCAGACCAAAAAAGAATTAGTTGTGTTTCAATTATCCAATATTTCTATTTCTAAAACTAATTCATGTTAGAATTCTGTAAAAAAAAAAAAATTTGAGAAATCGTATTAAAAAAAATTGTTTAAAAAACTCCAAAGGTAACAAAACTTTCTTCTGAGACAAACATCGACTGACCACTGTTGAAAATACATTTAAACAACTTTAACATGAGTGTTGAATCATAAACACATGTTCCTTCTGGACTCATTAAATATACACATCTTAATCTTGGAACAAAACTCCATTTATGTCAACAGGACATGTTCCTTCTAGACTCCTCATTAAATATACACATCTTATTCTTGGAACAAAACTCCATTTATGCCAACAGGACATCTTCCCTCTAGACTCTACGCCTTGAAAGAATGACTTCTTACCCCAGAATTTTGTCTGGGCTTATGTCTAGCATGCATTGGTCTGGGCTTGTGTCTCGCGTGCATTGGTCTTATGTCTAGCGTGCATTGTTTGGTCTTGTGTCTAGTGTGCATTGTCTGGTCTTGTGTCTGGCATACATTGATCAGTATTGCAACTTAACAGTGATCTACATACCTCTGCTATCCTGCCATCTTCTGACTGCAGCTCCACCAGCATCATCTTCTGGCCCTTCAGTGACACATCATATTTTCTTATCAACGGGTTCTTGTCTAATATAGGAAGCGGTAGCAAAGAAAAACAAATTCAGTTTCATTGCAATACAATAAGGAATGCAAAATATTTATTTGATGATCTGATGTTTAAAAGATACCATTTTAAGCTTGATACTAGAAGTGTTGCTCATATATAACATTTTACCTCGACTCCCATGCCAATGATAAGATGCTTTTCAAACATTTCTTTAATAGAGTAAATTCATCCCTTTAAAACTATTTTGTCTGTGACGTCCTTTATGTGTTTTATTAACGTAAGTAAAAAGTGGTACTAATCTAAAATGGTAAATATGGGTGTAAAAATATGCAGTGCAATTCCGATAAAATGTGAATTTTTTTTAAACTGATGTTTATACTATTAATTAATAACTAGATGGAACCTCTCCCTCGCCCCCAACCTTTTAAACTAGCCATAGCCATGTGAATAAGTTTTCATCAGCTATGGCTGCATGTAACCCTAACCTTGGATAGGTATTTTACTCTGCAGATCTTCACTGAGATAAATGCCAGGATCGTTGTTTAGGGCAGAGTGCTGCTCTGGCTCAGGGTAGTAGGGTTCAATGTCATCAACTTGGAACACCGTGTTGATCTCAGCTGTGTACGGGTCTGAAGGGGAAAGCAACACGGTGAACAATAAGGAACAGTAAGATCTACACAGGTTTCAAGAGACTGAGTTTGGCTAAAATTAGCGGCTTCTCAACATTGAAATGCGAATCACTTTACAAGAGTGAAAAGTAATATAAAGTAAAATATCATGAAAAACCTACTCTCTGAGCAAAGAGCTATTGTCTAAGCAACAGTTTTAGAGTACCAGTAATTTACACTATAAAACTAGGTAATCTGGACTGGCTTTCAGGATGGTGAAGGAAACGTGATTATAACAAAAGAGGATCCATTGTCCTTTAAGTAATAATATAAATTTTTATATATCTTTTAAAAATTTATTTATTTAAAGTTTCTTTATGTAATACAGCTAGTGCTCGACTTACGACCACGATCGGTTCCGACAAACCGGTCGTAACACGATTTGGTCGTAAGTTGAGTACGCTATGTGTACAGTAATATGAAGTGAAGTACCCCTTGGCTGGGGTACCCGCCATATAAAACCACCACTAATAATAATAAGTGATGTTATATAAATTATATCATAAATTTCTTTTATTATTGTTATAAATCATAATTTTCGATGTTCATTTTATGTCATTTGTATCATCTCTACACTATTTTGTTTCTTATTAGAAATAAATCTATGGCTAGTGATTATGGTCGTCAAGTGGAATGGTCATAAGTTGCAAAGGTCGTAAGTCAAGCACTAGCTGTGTGTCACTCAGTTATAGTTTAATTTCTACCGTTCTCTTGGTAATTTAGATTTATAAATTAGAAATCATTTTATTTTCCAATTTTAAAATGCACTGTTACTTTGCTAGGGTGTGTGAGACTTGTTCAATTTGTAGAGGTGCGTGAGACTTGGTCAATTTGTGGTGGTGTGTGAGACTTAGTAAATAATTCGTAGGGGGTGTGTAGTACAAAAAAGTTTTGGAAACCCTGCTACACAGCAAAAATAAAATGTTAGGGCTGAATGTTTTGACAAGTACTTGGCTAAAGCTAAAGGTTAAGCTGCTTCTGTTCAGGTCAACAGACCAAGGCAGAACAATAACTTAACAACAGTTTGTCATTAAATGGACAAGAAGACTTTTCCAGGTAATTTACACAATTTTTAAGGGCCCAGAACTTGATACACCAGAGAGACAAGAAAACTCCTAGGGAAACTTAAATATTAAGAGTTGCATAAATAAACCAAAAAAAATAAGGTTCAAAACTGATAACGTACAGTTCCTTGGATGCTCCTGACTACCATATGTCTCCCGTAAATGACCTCTCAACTCTCCAGTGTTCCCATAAACTGAACCCGTGGACAGAATAAGCCTCTTGTCCTTGGTGACCTCAACCTCCAGCCTGTCAAAGGATGGTGTGGCACCATCCGTGAAGGTGACCACCACAAAATAACCAAGCTGTTGAGCACTTTCATGGATGAGAAATCTTTTGTTGGACTGTCGGCCAGGGAGTCTCGGTTCTCTTAGGAAGTTCTCAGCTGTTGAATTTCTGAGCAACAAAATGAAAAGATTTGGTATTTGACTACTAGTTATTCAATGATTAATGTATTATTATATAAAACTCAAGGGTTGAACCAGGATATGGACTTACTTTTGTTCAGAGGGCTGTTCCTATATGACCCAGGATGACCTCGTTTGACCTAGTATGGCCTGGTTTGACCCAGGAAGACCTGGTTTGACCCAGCGAGTACTGGTATGCCAGAGTAAATTTTATAGAAATATTTAATGACACTACATCATCATCATCATGTCCCTTAGTCCTTGAACCGTTGGCGCACCACAGATCACATGTGAACTATCCTCCTCCATTCGTCTGTCTTCTGCACTTTGCACAGCATCGGCTAGTTTTAGTCCCGTCCAGTCTTTAATGTTATCTTCCCATCTCTTTCTCTGTCTTTCTCTTCTTCTCCCTCCTCTCGTTATGCCCTGCATGATTTCTTTGGCGAGCCCTTGTTTCCTTGTCACGTGGCCATACCATGCCAGTTGCGCTTTTTTACAATCATCAGGAGGTCATCGTACTGCCCAATTGCCTGATGAATCCTTTCTTTCGCTCGATCATTGGAGATATGGTCTTTATAGCAGATGCCAGGAATGCTTCTGAAACATCTCATCTCCATCACCTTTATTTTCCTTTCAAGTTCTGCTGTTAATGTCCAGGACTCGCAGGCATACAACAAAATGGAGAGGACTACAATGGTTTGAAAAATATATATAACCTAACAAAGTAAAATTTAATAAGACAAAAATGAAAATATTGGAGAGAAGATTTTGACACCAAATAGTAAGGAAACGGCAAGTCATCATTTTTGTAAAACACAAAGTTTGTGTGTTGGAAAATGGCTGCTTTTACTTTATTTTAATTTTTTTTTTGTTGATTATTTTTCAAACAAATGCTGTCGTACTAATTTTAAAAAACATAAAAATTAATAAACATACTCCAAAGGCCCAAAACTCCAGAGTTCAGTTCCAATTTTTGTGTCTATGTTATGAAGGTCTGTACTGAGGTAGGTATCGTAACGGATGAACAATGTGAAAAAACCTTGAACCATGGACATGAAGGATTCAGCAGCTCCTTCTTTATCAAACTGAAGAGTCTAAAAAAAAATTTGGTTGATGCACACTGAGTAGTTTTGTTTTAAAATTCCAGACAATGATTTTTATTTAATTTACTTACTAGTATTTAAATATAGTCAAATACCAATTGAAAGAGTGGCTACATAAGTGGGACAATGGTGACTCTACTGTTAAAAATATTTTTTAAAAAAAAGAAATGATTGAAAATGTAGTCGCACTTTCAATTATTTTACTCTTCAAGGATAAAATTGAAATAAAAAAAATAAGATGTAGAAATTCCAAGAAGTTTGAGCACAATTGATTTCATATTAACTGCATTAAGCTAAAATTTTGAAATGCTACATATATATTTCTCATATTAAATCACACTGCACTTTGCAAATCTTGCACAAATGTGCATTTTGTTTCATGGACGCAGGCTGGCACAAAGTTTATCTTGGGATGGGATCATACTCTTGTTAGTTTGTTCTGTTGCAGGTAAAGGTATGCACTGCCTTGATTCAATACCTACTAGTTCAACATGTTGAAGATTCATCACACATTGCTAACTAGTTAGTTTTAGCTATTTTTCAGAATCCTAAAAGCGCTAAACTACAAAAAACATGATAAAATAAACAACTGTAGCACAAATATTTGAGACTACTTGAAATACAGATTTTGGAGATGATGATACTTCTATATGTAATAAATCAAGATAATAGCTACTTTATTTATCTTACTGTTGCCTTTATGTATGCCAGAGTCTGTCAAAATTTTAATATAGTTTTAGTTTTCTAATTTAGCAATAATTTTAATAAGAATTCCAAATGATGCGTTCTTTTGATTTATAATTTAATGTAGCCTTTTAAATTAATATTATTATTACTCACTGTTGGAGCCTCATTTTTTAATACAATGAAAACTCTCCATGTTCTTGCAGCTAAGTTCTCTGGCTTGTGTAACTTCATGCTGATAATCTCTGTTAAACTATATTTAAACACCTGTTCAAAACAAATGCACAATTTTTCTTTTTTTTAATAAAGAATTTCAACAATTTGCTACTAAAACCATAATTTAGAAAAAAAAACACAATATATTTCATTGTTAATTCAATGAATTATAAATCATTTAATAAACATTTATTTTTTTCTAAATACCCATATGTGTATAGAAAAAACATATGCTTCACATGGAACACTGGTTACCTCACATGGAACACTGGTTACCTCACATGGAACACGGGTTACCTCACATGGAACACTGGTCACCAAACTAAATGTTACAGCTGCACCCCATTTTAATTTTTAAAAACTCTTGACACCTGACTTTAAAAAAATTATTGAAAATACTATAAGACACATATTAAGTCAGTTTTGATTTTTTCACACTGCCATTCCCCCCTTCAACCCAAACTAGAAGGGGAACAATGTTGGCTTTCAAACCCCTTAATATTTTATAACTAGTGTCCATGGGTGCACTGTCTAGCTTCAGCTAACAGACCACATATGGTTATAATGGCATAATTAAAGACAGCGAATGGCAACGCACTCAACATAGGAATCTACCAAGGCCATGTTTGATCAGCATTATTCCACTAAAACATTATTATAAACATAATCTGAATTGACTTACCTCACCATAGTAAAGTGCAGGCTGCTGATTGTCCCCATAAAGACCCACAGTAACAGTAACAGAATCTTGGTTGTTATCCCTGCCAATGGCAACAGCTTCATATTGCTCAAACCAGTAGTTTGGTTCAGCTACAGTGATTGCCCTGTAAAAGTCTTGTTTGTGTGTTCCAAGAGTTTTCTCCCACTGCTTCATTTTACTGAGGTTTTCCTGCAGCCCATGGCTAATCCAAAAATGATCTATCACTCTTTGAGTAATCAAGCGCTTACTGATCAGTTTGGAAAAAAGTTTGTCGAGATTCCAAAAATGGATTCTCCTCTGTTGAAAGCCATTGTCCACCTTCACAGAACTATTGATGGGTAACACTTTAGGCATGAGCAATGCAGTAGACAATAGCTTAAAAAGCTTTTTATCATCTAGCTTGTTACTGCCGCCCAATTCACCCATTAAGAAGTCATTGAGGATTTGAAGAAATAAGTATTCACACAAAACATCATTATTTCTAGTGTAGTCCAAACCACTTGCACTTGGATGAAAACGTACTTTCAATTTATAGTTTCTCTCCTTATCTGCACTTTTCTCAAATACGTGGTTCTGTGGCAACCAATATTTTTCATCAGGACACACTGTCAAGCCAAATGCTGCAAGAAATTTTGGTGCTGATATGTCTGAGTGGAGACAAACTTTTCTGCCAGCATGTGTAATACATTTTATTAAAACAACTTGAAAAGTTAATTCAGATTCACTTGCACTTGTATCTATTTTCAAAGGTTCTATATTTTTATTAACAAAGAGTATCTGTATACAGTTGTTAGCATCAAGAGCCATGTTGATTTGTGAATAGAAGATTATAAGGAATTTAGAAGTTGACACGGGTATTTATGAATACCTCAAGGTATCAGATATCCTAAACAAACTTCAATTCCATTAAGTACATTCTTGTCACATATACAACAGCTCAATCAGAAGTATAGATAGCACTTTCAGACATCTGACCACTGACTGACATCCTTTCATGTATATTTGATAACTGAAAAAAAAAAAGATTGTAAATTATTCTGCAACATTAATGGACCACTAATTTACATAAATTTCTGTATCTATTTCTTGATAATGTAAGACTTTCAAAATAGATCAACACATAGATATGAACAAATAAAATAATTTTAAAATTGATTTTTTCAGACTATTCAAGGGTTTTAATATGTCAAGGCCGTAAAATGTCTTACGAAAAATATTCTTTTCATTTACAGAATATGCTAACTATAACATATTGATTTGTTACAATTCAAATAAGTGTTTTAAAATTATTTAATAGCTTCTGATGCCATGAAAGAAGAGAGATTAAAATTAGGCAAGGCCTGAGTGCAGGACATACTAAACTTATTGAGATCTTAAATTGGGTAGAAAATACAGCAAAACCCCATCATTAATTCACTTAACATATAAGGGTTCTGAATAACTTCAATAGAGCCTTAAAATATCAATTGAGGGATTTGAAAATAAAATAATTGGAGTCTGTACTGACTGTGAATTCTTTAGTATCAGGTATATGCCTATAATAGCTTATATGATCTAATAGCACAAGCTAAGTTGGGGGAGTTGTTTTCTTTTAAATTTTTGTAGCCAAGTTCAACTTGGACTTCAGGTAACCTCAATTAACTAGACATAAATAAGTTATAATTATAAGTTGTAGTCTACAACTTGTAGTTTACTGTTGTTCACATGCAAAGATGACTAAGTAGCCTTGACTGAGCCAGAGCTGTATTTTGTTTAAAGTGAGGGAGAATTGCTCAATTTGTCAGCCTCACTCTATTATCCTTGCCTATTTGATCTAGTGGCAAGACTTAGTCAAGATGACTGGAAATAGACTAGGACTAGGAATAAGATGCATTTCGGTAGACAGTAGATGATAGAGGGGTAGACCGTAGATGATAGAGGGAGTGCTAGTGACAATGATGTTTTCGCTTGTCTAATCGTTTTCTAGGGATTAACTCAGTTTATACGGTTCGGCCACCCAGCATGTAGTTTACTAAAAAGTTTAGTAGTGTAGTAACTACTTTAGACTTTAGGACTACTACTAAACTACTACTAACTACTTTTTGTTATTTTTAATTATTAGTACCGGGTAGTAATTTAGAATTTCAATTAGTTAGTTACTTAAAATACTTCTTGTCGAGCTAGTTAATTAGATAAATTTAGACTTTATGCATACTTTGTTAAAACTTATCAGCACAAACTTAAAATTTTGCAAGTGCAGAGCCTTAGCTTCAACTATACTTATACTGTACGAGGAACAAAGACCCGTATTTACCGTATTTTATCACTAGGCCTGTGCTAAGCTGCTAAACTAATTTTGTTGTATATTTATCTCTCCAATTACCGAGATCAAATATAAAACCAAAATGATTTCGAAATCTATCGCTTGTGTACTTTTTTTTTTTTTTTACTAAAAAGAGAAATATGAGTATGAGTCATTTAAAACACTGTGATTTATAATTTCAATGTAAATGTTTTTTTTTTAAATTAAGTTTTAGAAATTAAGAAAATGCAGTTATAAGTACCGGTATCAATTATTTCAGGTGCTGAAAAAACAATGTCCAAGTCCAAGGACTAAAAATGAAGGCAATTTAGGTAAATTCAAAAGTGACTCTTCAACATCACAGACAGTCAATTGTGTAAAATAGAATAGAATATTCCGTATATCAACAGGCGTTAATAAAGAGTTAATAATGGATCATTTTATTTTTTATATTTATTTCTATAATGCTAATAGATGTAACTCTAATTAATCTCTAATATTGTTTAGCTTTTATTTGCATACTTTGACTGACTGTTTTAAAGATGCGTAAGAAAGCTAAATAGTAGGCTAAAACTAAAAACATAATTTTATTACCCAGACCCCAGGACCAAAAATTAATAATCAACACAGTAGTTTCACTAATTTAACATTGACATAATTTGTCAAATGTTTTTATTTCGTAGATAAACCCTCACCTCTAATCTGGAATCTCGACAAAAAATTCTCGAACTATTGAAAATACCGGGATTCCGGTATTCATAAACTTCAATATCGAAAATACCGGTTTTGGTAAAAGGGGCCGGTTTTGCGACCACTGCCTGCAAGTGAATTGCTAGCTTCGAAAATACATGTTCACGGCCATGGGCGCCCGCAGAACACTTTCTAGGGAGGCCGGGGGGGGGGGGGGGAGCGCATAACCTTTTTAACTTTTTAGGGGGGGGGGACATTTTTTTTAGTAATGTTTAAATTTAGTTTTAATTTACTGTAGCGTATTTGTATGGTGACCGAACGGACAGGACATCAGCTTAGCTACTTTCTCTTTATTTTCTCTTTACTTTAATACAATTTTTGTTTATTTTTGTCTAAAAAAATTTTATCCAATCAATCCAGGGGGGGGGGCAAGTGCCCCCCTCCCCCCCTGCGGGCGCCCATGTTCAAGATACTACATTAGATACAATGATTAGAGCAGAGCTTTTCCAAGGTGGCATACACCTCAGACATAAATAAACCTCAAGACGCTGTCATTTAGCTTTATTGGCACATTGAAAGTTAAAGTTCAACGAACCTCTCTTAAGACAATGGCATCAAAACGGACACACATTTTAAAGTTATATAATATTTTTTTAAAATTAATTTATGATATGTACCGCTGTGATAATTTGTATGATATTTCCGAGTAACTCACCTAAACCCTGCAGACGACACACTAATGAGTTTAGCGAGAAACCGTTTTGACAGCTTTTCTTTTTTAAAACTCAAGTTCAAACGTTACTAATAGTCTATAGGCTATACTATAGGCCTAACGCCCAACTGTTAATTCATTGTCGCTCTTTTAAAACGAGACCCCGACCGTCTGCATAAACTGCACTAAATCAGCATGACCCGAGTCTCCTGAGAATGTGTTGACGCTAAGAATATGACTTGTTTTTTTTTAAATATTTTTTTGGGTAGAAAAAAAAACAACCAACTGAGGTCCTAAGATCTCTAGATGATGTCAATGTACACAAAAGCAAGCGAGGAAAATCAGGAAGGAATAGATGAACTCAAAAGGAACAACCAGCATCATTTTCGTGTCATATCGCTTATGACCCAATTGTTCTCACATTCAGAGTTCATTCCGCGTTTTTAAATCACGCATTCCACCTGTGCACACCCAACAATCCACCTGTGCACACCCAACAATCCACCTTTGCACACCCAACAATCCACCTTTGCACACCGAACAATCCACCTTGGCACACCCAACAATCCACCTGTGCACACCCAACAATCCACCTGTGCACACCCAACAATCCACCTGTGCACACCCAACAATCCACCT